AAAATGAGTATCAGCATTTTACCGTATGCACTGGTAAAAGTCCATGAGGTGCTTGGGATCAGTGCTGTCTTGGTCTAACACCTTGGTCTGGACCTAGGTACTCCTATCTCAGCTCAGGTCGACTGGAAATTTCTTATAAACCTCATTTGTGTAATTTGATTCATTACCTTCTCTAAAAATAATGTGTCTGGTTTTGCACGATTTCGGCGTGAAACCAAGTGAAACTCAATGGTTTCTATTTTGTTTTGCTTAGAACTCCTGGGCACATTTGAATCTGTAACTTGGAGTTGGGGACTGGAGACTCAGGAAGCCACACAGAGCAGAGCAGGACAGAGCGGAACAAGCAAATGAACCAAATAGGCAGCTCCAGTCTTGCAAAGGAAAACTGCAACTTCACAGGCAATTTAGCTAGTACAATTTATTCTAATTTATTGCAGTAAACTACATATTAGCAAGCATTAACAAATCAGGGGCAGATTTATGGCAGAGAAGGCTACTGTGCTAATGAGTGGCCCCCTCATTAGCATTGCCTGGAGCAGCATATGCTCTCTCTCAGCCTATCCTTACCACATTTTCCCATTACCATAACAGCAGAAACAAACCTTTCATATCCTGTAATCTCTGACCAGGAGGAGCCTTGTTTGGGAGCTGAAGAATTAAGCTGAAAGACAGTTATTTGTATGAACTACAACTCCAGCTGTTTTTTTTGTGGACAAGCACAGGAGTTAACGGGATACTGGGCACCTCTCAAAATACTGGTCCCATTTATGATGCCTGCTTCAGTGGTTATAGCTTTTTTTTGTGCTGTATTGCTGCTAGCTGGCCGTGACTATCAGCTTCTTGGCTGTTCTATTCCCATGTATACAAAACAGGATTCAAAACACCTACCTATGAAAGAGAATGATTCTTATTTTTAAAAGGTTTTTTTTTTTTTTTTCATGATTATGTATAAAATATTTGCATTTTCATCATTAATGTATTTGGCTTGCTGAGCATCTGTGGGTTTCACTGATTAATTATTGTAGAGCATTTGAGATCTTGTATTGGCAGGTGCTGTCAAAGTGTAAAGTAATATCAACATACCTTTAAATCAATGAAAGACCCAAAGTATCACAATTCAGAGAGCAAACAAACCTAATTGTTTACTCTCCACTCTGCTGCAGTCTGCAAGAGCAGACTTAAAATTAATGTAGTATACTTTGGCCACCCAGCTAAAAACCACAAAAATCCATATAAAACACCTTCCAAATTCCTCAACCCCAGATTGCACTAGTTTAAGAAAACTCCTTCTATGATATCTTTTCTCCCTTTAAAGGATTGGTCTTTTATTAAGTACATAGCAATTTGAAAAGATTGGAGTAATTTTTCTGTCACAGATTTGCAATCCAGCAGTTGATAAAACTACTTCTTGATGTCTCTAATGGTAAACTTTGCAATCCCTCCACCCTCTTCCCTGGAACAACTCTAAAGAAAAACTTTCCATACTGAATATCAGCAAACTGTCTAAAGGCAACACTGTAACCCGTGAGAACATGATTAAGTCCTGATTTGTAATAATCTTTTAATTAATTGCTGGCCCTTTCATCAGGCAGTCTGGATTTCATTCTATGTACATCTGCAATGTTCCTATTTTTTATTTTTTGCTCGAGACAATTTACATTTACAATGTAACACTTCATTGAAGACAGGGAAAAGGAGAGCAATGCAAATGTCCTGATTTTCTAAACGTCTCTGGCCACTTTGAATCACCCCATAAAACTTCCAGATCCGTCTTCCCTGGGGAAAACTGCAGGTGGTGGTGGGTTGCAGGAGGAGCTTGCAAGCTGAGCTCCCCCCTGGCCACCAGCAGAGAGGGTGCAGAGGGGAGGGAGAAGGTGTTGGTGAGACTGTGGGTGTCTGGCTGCCACTCGCCGGCCATTACCCCATGTGGGTCTTGGCAGCCAGTGAGATGGAGCTGCTGGGAGAAAACAGCCAGTGCCTGCCAGAGGGGAGACCATCAGTTTTCCTTTAATAACTCCGTAACGTTTTCAAGCCTGAGGAATTCCTGAGAATAACAGAGAAGGAGGAAAAAAAAAAAAAAAAAAAAAAAAAGACTTCAAATGGAGTGAACACCATTATTCACTGGTGATTGGAGGGGGTAAGGGAAAACAAGGGAATGCAAAGATTTAAAAAGATGACATTTTGATATGTCTAGTTTGGAAAACCTTGAATTATCTGAAGAATTGTTGAGAGTTGTTGGCATGTTTTTTTTGTTGTTAAAATATTAACCAGAAACTTGATTACTATTCCTTGTATGCTGCACTGATCCTCTCGGGATGGATAAAGCTTTAGTGAGGGTAATTTTTTTCCCATACATAAATTAATACATTTTAAGACAAGAAGGGACTGTTCATCTGACCTCATACATAACAAAGGCAACTGATTTGCTGTATTATTAATATCAAGTCAGGTAGCTCTCATTCAACTTCAGCATACCGCTGAGAAATCTTCCCACTTCAAACTGTTATCACCCTGTTTACACTTCAATGAGCCCCACTATCTTTTTCAGTACCACCATCATTTTGGGAAGTCTAATCCACCAGGGACTCTGAGACCCAGTGCAAGTCCCCTTGTCTTGGTTCACCTCCCTCAATCTTGGGAGAATGGTCCTTAGTCTTTGTGATAAAGTACACGACTTCTGATCATGACAAAAGTCGTATAATTACCTCAGCAACCAAGATAAAATGATGTCAGTATATAAGCTTTAGTTTTTTTTTTCTTTTTTTTCTTTTTTTTTCTTTTTTTTTTTTTCCCCCAGCACTCTTCTCACATTTGTGCTATAAGCAAGCTATGGTGATGTCTTTGGGATTTTTTGTCTGGGAGTATAGTGACAGGACAAGGGGGAATGGTTTTAAACTGAAAGACAGTAGATTTAGATTAGATATAAGGAAAGAAATCTTTACTATGGGGGAGGTGAGGCACTGGAAAAAGTTGCTCAGAGAAGTTGTGGATACCCCATCCCTAGAGGTGCTCAAGGCCAGGCTGGATGGGGCTTTGGGCAACCTGGTCTGGTGGGAGGTGTCCCTGCCCATGGCAGGGGGCTGGAACTGGGTGGGCTTTAAGGTCACTTCCAACCCAAACTATTCTGTGATTCTGTGATTCTGTGATTCTATGATTACAGAATAACCATAAAAATTTCTTCAGTTTCATATTTACTGTAAGTTATCACATCTACCATGTGATCAGATTATATAGCTTCATATTTTCTACATGCACAGCATATTCAGGTCACAAACCCTATTTGTGCTCTTGGAACAGCAAATGTATCAGCTTCTCCAGCAATACATTCCTCTTCCAGCCTAGAAAAACATACGAAATCAAGAATGCCATTTATGTTTTATCACAATCAACACCCCCTGATTTCATGAACTTTTGATAATGTTCTCAGTAAGATATCCTGCTGTTTTTTTTTGAAAATTACATTTTGAAAATCCCTACTAATAGTAACTAAACAGAAATCATCCACACAGATTCTTTTATTAGGTGGAAACTCTGATATAAATCTGTATTTAACCACTAACCTCAAATGAATACAGCTCATTGGAAAAAAATCTATTTTCTTTGAGTGGGTTGCTTTTACTGGCTTCACTAATGTCCTTCAATACATATTCTCTGCTCAGTTTACCCACAAGTAACTTTTGGTGTATTTAGTCTTTTCTGTGAATACGGAAGTGATCAGAACCCACAGCAGTAGGGTTTGTCTCACTTTGATTAGCTTCATCTAGAATGGAGCAGATCCAGTGACACACCAGCCTAAGGCACTTTCCAAGTTATGCATATTAGAAATTACACCAGAGTACTGGAATATGCATTGGATTCCCAAATCATAAGACAGGTCCTAGAATGTGTTTGTGTAGAGAGAGAGGATGAAAGAGAGGAAGGAGATGAGGTATTGTCCTACCACTGTGAGAAGCCTGCTGAGAAAATAACGTGATTTTCTGAACAAATGAACCAAAACTCTAAAGAATTACAAAAAAAAAAAAAAAAAAAAAAAAGCTACATAGAGTAAGGAAAAGCGTTCATTCTGCCAGTGTACGGTCAATGCTAAAAGGTTTATAACTATGAATTCCCCTCTCCCTCCTCATTATCCCCTCTTTTTTAAGGGAGGAAGGGGTATTTTTCTTCTAGCTTGTAACTAGTGAAATAACACACGCCTGTCCACCCATGCAAAGAGCATGTGAAGAGCAAATCTTGCAGGCATATTACACAGTGCTCTGTACAGGTGGTAAATCCAGAGTGCAAAGCCCGTTGCTCCTGTTCTGAGATGATCCTCAGAGTCATCATGTGGTAGGTCCACTGCCAGACAAGTTGAGTCAGGCAGTCATGGCACAGTAAGACTGGTGCTTTGGCCCCCTGTGCATATAGATGGTGGTTAAGCTATGTATGTACCAGATGTATATTAGGTGCAATCTCATTGAGTGAACATATCTGTAAAGATGTGTCTAGTATCCTTAATCTCCTGAACTTTATATAATTAATTTCTGTTTTGGTTAAACTCCATTGTGTTTCCTCTCCATTCCCTTGCTAGGCAAATAATATTTTGCATTCTTGATTGCTTTTACAGAGTCTCTGCTATACCAGGTGATTCAACAGTACAAATACTATACAGATTATGTATGGGCAGATGAACACATTTATGCTGAATTACCCAGAGTACACAACAGAACAATTATGTTGGCTTTCTGCTTCTGTGCTGGTTTTCCAGCAGCTGCGAGTTCTGCACATGCTAACTGATCTGGCACAAAGTTAAGAGTGGGGTGAAAGACAATACCTGATCCTGCGTAAGGCCTAGCAGCACAAAAAGAACCCCAGGTTATTGTTTTTCAACAAGTTTGCATTGGAATGAGCTCAGGCTATATTAGAGTTGTGTTTTGTTTTGTTTTAATATTATTTATTTTAATTTTTATTCTGTGGCCAAGATATTTTTAGGACAAACTACTAAAATCCATAATCTGGATTTACTGTAACATCAAACAACAGCCTGAATTTAATGAAAAGATTTGTTGAGACAATGTATTTCAATGCATTTATTCAGCATTATTTAAGGCTACCCACTTTTTAAATATGCTGTTCACAAACAATGCCAAAGATGGCTTTATACCTACAGATGACTGAATCATTGTGGTTTATACGACTTCCCTTGAACTTGCCTCTGTTTTGGAGGACATTGCTTGGAAACTGACAGTGACAGTTCAAATCATCTGGCTTTATTTTTTTCCTCCCTGCATCTCACAAAGTGAGAGAGTGGCCAACTTCATCAAATTAGTTGCTGTGAATTATATTCTTAGCTCTGTCCTGATTCTCTGAAATACCAATGTTTCAAACACTAGATATCTACTAGAAGAGGACAGAGTTCAAGAAAGTAAGTATTTATTTATAAGTGAGGCACTACAGCATTAACTGTTGTGTATCAAAACTTTAGAGTGAAATCCAAAAGTTTTGGGTAATTTCTTGTGCTTCCCCTACAGGCCTGGGCAAACAGACACATTACATGGAACCTCAAATCCTCCAGGCTGTGCAGAAATCTGCTCAGGGTATGTAGAGAAGTCTTAATAATACATATTAAGCCCACATATTTTGAGGTGCTCAATGCACGTCTGCTAAAACTTGCTTCTGTCTTTTCAAGGTCTGCCTCTTGATCCCCTTCCGCCAGCAGCAGAAACTTGAAACCCTCCTCTGATGTAATGGAGCAGGGTTCATGCTTTTCTTCTGAAAGTTGTTGACTGGACGAGGACCTTTTTTTTTACACAACAGCCTGGGTATTACAGCAGTTGCAAAGGAAGCACTCAATTAATTTTGCTCTCAGCCTGAAAATTCAGGTGCACATCTGCCACCTCTGAGAGAAACGTGAGCCCCCAGCCACATGTTGGTGGAGGATGAAGGCACACAAAGTGCTCACCAAGCTTCCTGTTGGAGCCAGAACATGCAATTTCACAAGTCAGTGAGCCACACAAACCTGGCTTTATAGTCCAGTAGTTAATCACTCACATGGAAAAGAGGCACCCTGGATTCTGACTCCTCTATCTTATACTAAATAACAAGACTTAGGCTGTCCATATAAGTGTGTGTCTGTGTACCCAACCCTGCCTCCCCACTTTCAGCCCCAGTGCTTATGGCTGAAATGTTCACAGGTCAGTGCCAGCACTGATACTGCAGCTTCATTTTCACTGCGGATAAGAGCTTGTTTCATGGAGTCCTGCATCCATGAGGGAGCTCTGACTCTGCAGCTAATCTTAGGCTTCCCAGGACCCTCATGCTCAAAGATACCCAGTTTCAAAACTTTTCCGTCTAGAATAACAGATCCTATTTTCCCCTGTCCTGTGATCAAGGATGCTCATCATATGAACATCTCCCTGTCAAGTGTGTAGTTTTCTTTATTTCTACAGAGGCTGCTGCTGCAGTGAATTCTGGGATCTGGAGGTTTGGATTGATGTGGCCTATTCTCCACTGAAGTTTCTTTAAGAGCATAAATTGTGCATCCATATGCTTGGATCAAGTACATGGACGAACAACTTATGCTCCTAAAGGAAACCAGTTTTTAGTCTGAAAACCACTCTCTGTAAAATGTAATGGTTTGTAGGAGTGTTCATGTGTGTGTCAAATATTTTGAAAGCAGATAACAGTACATATATTAAATATATTTTATTTTATTTTATTTTATTTTATTTTATTTTATTTTATTTTATTTTATTTTATTTTATTATTTATTTTTCTCATTTACATAGTGCAAAAGATTCCTCTGACACAGTAAAAACATTTACGCTTCTCCCTGTCTGAGGAGTGATCTAAAGTGGGTAAATGTACTAGTGAGAGGAGATAGTTGCAGGCAGACATGAGAAGTGAAAAAAAAAAAACACACAAAACAAACAAACAAACAAAAAAAAAACTGTTTATGATGACATTGGTGTTTCAGGATTAATGAACCTTTAGTTCTTTTTAAAGCATCCTACCCAGGTTTCAACCTCTACCTCTACCTCTGTGGCCTCTACCAAACTCAGGAAATATGTTTTTTAGAAACTTTAGAAATGTGGCTTTAGCTCTTCCAGTTGTCCTGTGTCATTTTAATCTATCTAAGCATTAATTAAGCAGTTACGTCTCAGAAACATGACTGACATGTCCATTTGTAAATCCTGCCAACAACTCCTCCATTCTAATTTCTCTTTTGCCACTAATTTCTGTTGTGGGTTTGAGTTCATCATTTAAGTTTAATTACTGATCTTACTGGTGTTGGAGCACTGCCGCTGAATTCAGTGGAAGTAATACAGGCCTTGCTTCCTTGTCTCCCTGTTGCTGAGAACAGATGAGAAATCATAGAGCCTGGTGCTAAAACAGCAGTCAGACCAGATCAGGTGTTATGCAGCTGTATCCTGAAATGTGTAGGTATTTTATATTAATCTGTCACTGCCCGATGAACAAACACAGTGCTGGAAGTGGGGGCTGGGTGCATAGCCCTGCCCCTACAAGCTGAGGGCCTCAGCCTGTGGGCTGCAGCAGGGCCGCTTCTGCTCTGCTCTTCTCCTAGCCCTGCCATTCCCTCCTGCCCAGCAACTTATATTCCCCAGGGGATGTTGACTTCTCAGGTTTACCCTGCCACTTGGTACTTTGCCACTAGTGTGCTGGAGATGCATGTTTGCTTCCCTGTGCCAGTTAAGACCTAAATTTCAGTTACCTCGCTTCCTGGGTGAATATTCCAGCAACTAAACAACTATGCCTAGTGCATAGCATCAGACGTGCTTAGTTGTACTCCTGGCCACAATTAACAATTCAGTCTTCTCCAGGGGCTTTTAACTGAGTTCAAGTACCCATCCAAGTAACCCATTAAATGAGAGGTGTAGGAAGGAGATAAGCACCCATCTTTCCACTTCTGAGTGTATGTGGGAGACTAAAGGCAAATATCTCAGAAGATTTCAAGCTAAGAAGGGAGTTACCTAATGAATTTATGTAGCCATACACGAGATAATCCTGGAAAGTAGGACAGACTGTATTGCTCTATGAGACTGAGGGAAAATTTGGGCACCTGTTTCCCATTTTAGACAGAATTTGCTTAAACTGAATCTAAGACAAACAATGGAAAAATTAAAAATATTCTTTTTAAATTTTTTTTTTAGCTCAAGACTTACAAATTTATATTACCTATAATAAGATGGTCTTTTTAAATTTTGTTCCTTCCTGAGGTTTCTCCTATGCATTAGGTCTTCTTCATACATGTGTGAGTTTAGTCCACTGGCTGTATCACTTGCTTCCTCACCAAAGAACAGGTACTAGTGAGACAAGAACTCTCCTCAGCCTCTCAGGGTTTTTATACAATCTATAATAAATGGTAATAACATATGACAGGCAGGATGTCTCAGAAGCCTGGAAACTTCAAAAACAATTATACTGCGATGTCTTAGATGCCAGAACAGGGAATGCTTAAAAAAATGCTGTATTGTGTATTATATTCCCAGTTCACTGGAGAGATTAATGCAAATTCCCCAGACAGGTAAACAAGTCTGGGAAAGCACCACCCTCTGGGAAAGTTGCACTAGTTCGAAAAGGCATATAAACACAGAGGTTATTTTATATATATATATATATATATATATATATATATTTTTTTTTTTTTTTTAAAGAGACAGGCTGGAGGCAGGACCCCAGTCTAGAGTGCGACAGACAGATGAAGACATGGACTAGAACAGTTTTATGAATTTATGTTTATAGCTTCTGGCACACCTGACAGCAAACTGAAGATGTGTGCAGATTGCTGACTGTCTTATGGCTTGTTTTCTCTGTACCTGTTTGTCCTAAACCAAAAGAGACTAGCATGAAAGCTACTTGTGGTACACTGTACCATGGGAGAGAACAGGAGTAATCCTGCTGAATTTGGTCAGACCTACTAGATTATAAACACAAAGAGCTGCAGGGGTTTGGGGTAAGAACCTGATCCAAGCAGAAACAGCCATTTTAACATCCAGCAGAGGAGTGGAGATGACTGCTGACAGCCATGGTTTAACTGACTGCAGTTAGGACTGATAGAAGCGGTTGACCCATAATACTAGCCCACTCTTCCCCAGTTTGCCCTTCTGCAATTCATATGGCTTTTGGATATTCACTAGCTTATATGATGCAAAGTATTCAGAGTCTGGCATGTCTGCAAGAATAATATTTGAGAAATCCTAATCTGAATTTCCCATTACTTTTGCCAAATGAGAATTATTGTCTTAGCTGAGCATTCCTCAGTGTCTTCTAAATCACCATGCCTTTGTATAGTATGTATGACAGAGTGCTTTGTAAATAGCTTTATGTTTAATAAGATTTTACAAAGCAGGACTTCTGATGAATTAGGTGTCTTTTCAGGGGTCATAAAGTATTTCCTACCCTGTTTGGAATGCATTTTGTTCCTTATGATGTATTCAATTAAAGTACTGGTATATCTGTGAAGAATTACAGTGAGGTTATAAGGCAGTGGCTACATTCACCATACAGTAATATTAGCAACTCCTGTACAGTTCACACGGCTTTATAATTTTGCATAGGATAATTGTTTCTCTAATGCAAAGGATCTAAGTAAAGTCTATTATATATAAAAGTGATAATCAGTACACTATACTGTTACTAAATCTTATTTATCATAAGAATATATAAGAAGTCATAGGTTATATTACTCTCAGCTAGTCTTTTTTTTTTTTTTTTTTTTTTTCTTTTTTTATGGGATATAGATCACTTACAAGATAACAAATTCCAAAATTCTTAGAAGTTTTATATGGACTTAAAGGGGCAGCTCCTTCAACACCACCCATGAAGTCTTTATAGCAATACCTTGGTCAGCAAACACCAACTACCCTTACTGATGTCAGCTGATTCAGATATTGCTGTGTGAAGTGGTCAGAACACGAGATTCCAGGGTTCCTAAAGAAGTGCTGTGCAGTGGTACTGGGCTCATAAAATGCTAGGAAAAGTACAGCACAAAATGGACACTCAGTCACAGGGCCTGAATACAAAACTAGGTCAACATTTTTCTCCACAGTTGTCAACATGAAAGGTATTAGTCTGCACTACAGAGTAGACAGTTGTCACTCAAATTACAGGAAAGGTTTTTTTTTGTGTGTGTGTGTGTTGTTTTTTTTGATTGTTTGTTGGGAGGGGGGGGAGGAATTTGCATGATTTTTCTTTACTGTTAAGTCTTATATTGTACTTGTAGGAAGTTAAATAGAGGTTATATAGTATAATTCATGAAGTCTGATATTTCTAAGAGAAAGCTAGTGCTGAAACTCTGTAGTCTCCTTGCATACACATATGTTGTAAGAATGAATCCACGTGGGGTGGCCGCCTTACCTATGCAGATCTGATAAGTCTGGCGGTATGACTGTAGCAATAACTCTAGGAAACAACCTGGCTTAAATGTTACTCCTTTGTTAATAAGAGCAGTGTACAGAATGTCCTCAGTGGAGTAATCAACTCAATAACCAGTGGCAAAGCTCCCAGATGAGAAAAAGAGCAATGCTAATTTTTTGTGGGAAAACATCATGCCATTTGAGACACAATGTAGTTCTGC